TGAACACGAAATGTTACACTTTCACCTTTGAAATCGACAATTCACCGTTCTGATCTTTAATTTCAATTTTTACGTTATCTATTTCATTAGTCAATACAGCATAATATGTCAGATTATTAGGTAATTCTACAATTTTTTAGCCGGGAGACACTAAAGGATAAAAATCGTGAATCAAACACGTCTGCGTCCATTCACAAATACGCCATATACAATATACATGATAACGGGTTAATGTTAGCCATTTGATCCGACTCGTGCACAATACCACCTTCAAACAATCGTTTATTGAATCCCAATAACTCTCCTATGCTATTATTTGCTGTCAAATCTATTGTTTTATCTCAAAACATTTCCGATTTCAATATATTCACATTGGATTTCAACTTGAAAATAATATTATGTTTTTTCAATTTATCAGAGAGATATTTACCTATATCATCTAGTTCGTAAGATCCTATCGGTATTGATAAATCAATAATCATTGACAGATATTGAATTCCCGAGATTGTCCACATCGGTTAAAACACGAAAATAATTGTTTTGTCCACTAACGTTTGGTTTAGAGTTGCATGCTTGTTAACTCAAAAGTGCTAATTCTACAGTTCCATCTAGTTCAATGGGTGGAAAAAAAGTGCTGATCATTCTAGACTGGTTATCTTGAAAATATAACGTTAACGACCGTTGCATTGTCCCAGTAAAAATTTCAAACACAATTGTCCATACACGAACGTATCGAATTCTTGTAGATGAGTGTAATTAAACTTTATACGACAACTTTTTAAACAGTTGTGTAATTCTAAAGGCGGTGGTAAATTACCAAACGAATCAAAAAAAAAAAAAAATCTGAATTATCTCATGAAATATACAATTAAGAGTAAAAAGTCGAGAACGTTTTTTTTTATGAAATGTAATATAGGTCATTATTTTATAAAACTGAAAACAAAGCATTTTTGTAATGTTTGGTTAAACTATGAATTTCTTGATCTATTATTACAAAAATATAATATAGTCTATTATTTGTAAACCTAGAAGTAGAACACTTTTGTAATGTTTGTATTAATTGTAATTCCCCGAATTATTGTTACTAGATCAGGAAGTAAATATTTATAAACATTTTTGAAAATGATTACTATATGAATTTTATAAAAAGACAAACAAAATATTTTAGTATATAAGATGAAATGGAATGAATTGGAAAGGGAGAGAGAAAGAGAAGACCTCGGGAGTACCGAAGGTAATTTCTTTCCCTGTGATACGTTTGTGACATTAAGTTTTTATTTTGTGTATTATTTATTTATCCGGTTTTAAGTGTATCAATATTTTATATGTTTTTTTTTGATTGATTATATCTTTATTAACTACATTTTGCGTTATTATTGAACTACTAAAACTATAAGTTAGAACAAAAAGATTGTTCCATAATTTAAATACAACAAAGTGATATTTAAATACAACAGAAATTAATTTTAAAAAAATTTTTGTTTTATAAAATTTTTGCAATAAAAGTGAAATTTACCAAGTTATGCGTTAAAAACTAATTTTCATCCCCATTTATGAAAATTCAACCCCTCTGCGGCACAAGAAATAATTATTTGATCATCACAAAACTTATATAACACATAAAAGAATTATAGTTTGCGTCCTGGTAAAAAAAATAACATTGAAAATGAAGGACCACTCTACTCAACATCTATAAAATGGTAACACGTGTGACTGCAATATTATAATAGTGTCCTTATGTGATGGACGTCAAACGCACAAAATATTTACCACCGGGTTAATGTATTTACGAGTGACCTAAAGACATCATAAGTGACCGTCCGTTTGTACACCAAACACAACGGACAGTGACAACGGCAGCACAACCATCGAAACATTGGGGGAGTATATTAAACAGATGTACCTATCGCGTATCGGATTATTTTTTTGTATAGAGGCTGTACCAATCTTTTTAATTTTACTGTATTTCACATATACCGTTAATCAGACACGTAGCCAGAAAATGCTTATTGGAGCGGCCAACAATTTTGAGACCTTGTATCATCTTCCATAATTTGTTTCCCATGAAAAGTTTATGGGGGGCTCTCTCCACTCCTCCTTAGATAGTATCTCATATTATGAATCTTACAAGTTCAAAATTTTACCATTGGTTGGTTAAAAACAAATTGTTTTCGTATAAAGTATACTAACTATTACAGTATTATAAAAAATGGATAGTACCTATAATTAAAAAAAAAATACTTACATCTTTACTATGGGGATGAATTTTTCATGTTGTGAAAAATAAATAAAATAATGATGTAAACATAAGCTGATTTAATTTTTTAACTTTTAAGCTATTAAGAAAAAATAATTTATACCTAAATACTAATAAAAAATAAGTTCTAAATGATTTTTAAAATAAATATAATTTATAAACAATGTACAATTTATTTGAAAAAAAGTACAAATACAAAAAAAAAAAAATTTTAATATAATATATAAAATAATAATTAGATTTATAAATATTAAACAGCTCAATATAAAATTATTTTTCTGTTTTTTTATTGTTCAGAGAATAACTTTTTTTCTATTCTTATTGAAGCCAAATTAACCAACCGTGCATTTGTCATTCGATTCCTCATATAGTTTTTCAAACGTCGGAGGCATGAAAAAGTCCTTTCGCAAGCTGAACTGGATACAGGAATAGTTATTATAACTATAGCTAACTTATAAGTTTTGTCGAATGCAAGCTTGTACTTTTCAAGTAGATAATTAGATTCATCAGGTTGTTTACCTTAACATTAAAATGAATTGGATATTTGTTTATAGTTGCTAGTAAGATTTTTAGTTCTACTTTTTAAATTGTCCAGATCAAGATTATAGTGAGCAGCTAAAGGTTTTAAATGTTTTAATTGTTCATAACATAAAAACTGTTCATTTTGAGGGTATAAGTAAGATATTGTTGACAACAAACCATAATTATTTGTAAATCGTTTTTCTAGTTCTTTAATTATATAATCCAACGCTGGTATGTATACATGTTGCCTTAAATCCTTTTTTGATGTAATCAGATTAGTTTTTAAAGAACTGAGCTCAGTAAATATAAACTATTTAAATTTATCGGGGATATTTTTTGTTCTTTTTTTTGTACCATGTTCATTTTATGTGGATATGTCGTTCTCTTTACAAATATTAGTAGTTTCAATATACATTTTATTAAAATTGTAACTGTTTTTCTCGATTTCATCAGTTCTGATGATTTTTAAAAGTAGTTATAATTGATGATATAAATATTAAAGATTGAGCCATTTCAGCTTTTACATTTTGCATGTAATCACTAACTGTTTTTAGAATTTGAAGAATTTCACAAAATATAGTTAAACTAAATACAAATTCAAAATCTATTAAATGTAGTGAGCCCATTGCTTCAGCAGCACGGTCATCTTTCTCAAATATCAATTTATTCAATAAAACTAGCAGAGGAGTTAGAGTCTTTTTTAGTCCTAAGCAAGCAAAGATTTGAGCTGTCCACCTTGTTAAACATATCTTTTTAAGTTCAACAACTAGTCTGTACTACGAAGTGGCTTGAATTTCCGTGCATTTTGAGCGTGTAGCAGAACCAGATACAAAAACGTATAAGTTTTTTACAATATTAAAAAACATTTTCACACATGGAATATTTTTGCATACGTCAGAAATTACAAGTTTGAGCCTATGATTGTAACTGTGTACATATATAGCCTTGGGTACTTCTTAGCAAAATACTTTAAAATTCTTTCCAGACATAACACTGGTTCCATCATAGGTTTGAGCAACACATTTTAATATATCTACGTTACTGGTAGAAAGTATTTCTTTAATATATTGAAAGAGAGAACTAGCGATTAATGATTGAGCTGTTTTAAAACCCATGAAACGTTCATACACTATACCATGTAAGTAATATATTAATATATCTGGTAATTGTTCCACTTTAGTAATATCTTGTGTTTCATCAACTGTTACAGGAAAACATAGACACTTTTCTAATTCATCAATAATTTGGTTACGGATCATTTTATTAAAAATTGAAAACATTTCATTATGGATTTGAGGGCTTGTATATTGAGCATTAATAGGTAATGCATTTCTTTTACTTTTAAATTCATCACTTAAATCCCCAATTAGATTTAAGAGTTCAATAAATTTACCACGGTTAACACTACTTTCTTTTTCATTGTCACCTCTTTGTAATATGCTTGTATAACAAAGTTCTTCTAATCAGCTTTATATAATTTTGATTTTCTAAAACTAACTTCTTATGACCTTCATTTAACAATGACACCACAGATGACTTAACACAGATCAAATAGTAAATGAATAATAGCTTTTTTTGGAAGGCATTTTGCAACCTCAGCTGTTATTAGGTCAAATCCAGGGAATTTGGTGAAAGGATATCTAGCAATAGTGACTTTTACGTCATTTTTCAGTAAAGCATTTAACTGGAAGATAGAGTGATAAAGGTGCGTCAAGGTATGTCATTACAGAACTAGTAATTTCAGATGAGTGTATATTCGGATGAGGTTTAAACGCATCAGCTAGATGTTCTTTGAGTAACTCTACCTTTTCCAAGTCAGAGATAGTTAGACTGCCGTTAGTTTTTTTAATTGGGGATTAGTTGTTTTATATCTAAGTCCTTGTTTGGTAGCTCTCTACAAGATACCATCCTTAGATGTTAAGCTAAGTAATTTTTATAGGAGTTAGTTTTGTGTTATGCAAGCATTTAAATAAAGTGACTGAAAATTGAATATATCTAAATGTAAATCAAAATAAAAATTAAATTGTAGAATAATTATAATAAAAAAGATAGTGTTGAATATTTTATTATGAAGTAGAATTATGTTTATTTTGTAATATCAGATAAAACTCCAAAATTAGTCATGAATATAAAAATGTTATAGAAGAAAAATACATAAAAAAAGAAAATATTTAACGAAATTTTTTTTTATACAAAAAATAAAACAAATAATCTGATTCAGTTGCTCTAATATTAACAATATTTAACATTATAATCATATATATTTTATATAGCAAACATATTTTACATATATTTAAATAAACTTGTACATTGTTAACATTAATTAATAAATTATGTTTTAATTCATTCTTCTTAATTCATATTAATTTCTTTTCTTAACTGTCACCATAGTTTTAGCTAAATTAAGTATATAAATGTTAGCCAAATTTTCTATTTTAAAAGATATTTTTCTATATTCTTATGTTTTTTATTAATGGATCATAAGACTTGGTTTCCAACTAGATTTATTTGATTGTTTACAAACAATACTTATATTTTTATTTTGAATTCACTACTTCAAAAATCATGCTTAACTTGATATTTTCTTTACAATAAAATAAATAATTATTTTTAAATCAAATTATATTTTTATGTTATTTATTTTTAAAAAGCTTACTTAATAATTGATTTTAGTTTTCAAAAATATATCAATTTTTAAAAATAACCATTGGTTTTATTTTCATTTTAAATTTAAGTGTAATATAATAAGTATTTATTTAATTTAACAATTGTATTCTGTTTAAGAAAGAAAAATTCTTCAAACAATTTTTTTTATATAAAAACAAACTTACTACATTACATTGGCCGACATGTCATAACTAAAACGATTTTAATAATTATTAATTTTAAGTTATACGTGTACATTCAGTACATGTATTACATTAAATACACATAGAAAAAATATTTTATATACGTGTGGTCGGTTTTTGTGAGAAGTTGAACAGATCAAAAATGGTAATTATTCAGAAAACAAAAAACACAATATACTTTTGTGCCTGGTAGTAATTATAGCTATTAAAATTCAAATTGCAATAAAATAATAACTAAACTGTTAATGGTAAAAAAAATTGACCATACCTAACACATTATTAAATTGTTAATTAACTTAAAATTGACTTGATCTGCTCTTACAAAAATTGTCCCTACATAATATTTATGATATATTATATCTTATATGTTTAAGGTTTTTTTTAATATGTGTATATATTGTATGTAGTCTATATGATTATTGAGAAACATACTATCTCTATTTCTTTTTATAAAAATATCCTTGTTTTAATGTTAGGATATCATTATGGTTAGTTAATTAATTATGGATAAATGCATAAAATTTTTTTTATTTTTTCAGCAATTTGTCAAGAGTAATGTGTAAAGTCTCTGTAAGTCGAGATTTTTCTTCAAAATTTACGTTGCTATCATAAAAAGTAACTACACTGGTTATATATTAAGAATGCAAAATTCTATTAAAATAATTATCATCAATATTTAACCAAATAATATTATAAAAAAATTTACTATTTATTCCGGAATGGACTTGATGTTAGTTATTTTTTACTTACCACCACCACCATTATCTAAATATAATAGGTTTTTATAATCAATAAAAGTATTAAAATTTAAGAGTACATGAAGTTATTAATTGTATATACCTTAGGATGCCCTCTATCTTAGAACTTAAGAAATTCTTCAAATTCATCCCGCAAATTTGTGTGTATACATATAAAAATTGGTTTCAAAAAACTTGAGGCCAATCAGATAAATTTAACACGTGCCGACTTAGGGTAGAAAATGGTCCAAAAAAAATTATTTTTTAATTTTTAGCAATTAAATCGTAAAATAGCATTCTCGCAAAAAAAAATATGTTTGATTTTACCTACGACACCACATTTATGAACTGATATTACGCGATGTTTACGAAACAAAACTACTTCAGATAACATCATAATATTTTCATGTTTAAAAATTAAAAAAAAAATTGAAATAACTCTCATGTTGCTAATACGAACTGTGGAATGGCTGACGTCAAATGTTGCTCTGTATTTAAAAATTTTCGAAATAATATTTTCCAGTTTTCTCGAGAAATCGGATATTTTAAAAATGATTATAAATAATTACTACAGTTCTCTATAATTTTTCTAAATGGTGGCTCAAAAAAAAAAAAAAATACTCTCTCTTGGAACCATGCACTAAGCTCGTTCGATGAGCGGAACAATATATTGCTTATATTTATTAAAAAAACTTTAATACAAGAATTTTTGATATCCACCATTTTATTAATTTTAGTAATTGATTTTTTTTTATTTTGTAGCTTCTTTTTTGTTGAAGAGAAGATTCCTATCAATACTAATAATTTTGATTTACACAGAAAAAAATTGTATGCTTACTTAAAGTACTAAGTACTCTCGGCTAAGAGAGCATAATGGAAGATTTTCATAGTAAATTAACAGTAGACGATTAAAAATCTGAGTTACTTTTACGCTCTGTTCAAAAGCATAAATAATTACACCCTAATTGCAAAAGAAAACATTAAAATATAATTTTTAATATATATTATTGTTATAATTTGGGAACTATATTGAATTTAAGATTTTATATTTTATGTAGAAAGTTTTTAAATTTATACAATAATATTGAAAAATAAGTATACTTATGCTTTTAAGCCAAACAAATACATAAATTTACAATTAATTAAACATTTTAAATTATATAATAAAACTCATATATTCAGTAAAAATTGTAATATGATGGAGCTATCTCAGCTATATCAATAGAACGAGCGGTACAATGAAATTTTTACTTATTGCTTTTATTTTGAAAAATTTGATATTCAACAATTTTTGTATGAAATATTAGCTTGTATGACATATGATTTGTCTGATATGATGAGATATTCGTAAATATGACAATTTTACGAAATATTATTTATTTCAACATTTTTCTGTAACATTAATGGATTTAAAAGAAAAACTGTTTATTTAATTTATACAATACAATTAAATTTACAATTTAGTTTCTATAATTTTTTTTGTAAGAGTACTAATTAACGAGTTAATTACTAAAACTACCCTTTATGACCAATCTTCAATCCCAAATCGTCTCGGATAAACTTATCTGATCTGCCTGGCTACTTTGGCAGGTAAGCCTGAAGAATATCCAAAATTAAAAAAATAAGGGATAACCTAATAATATGATTGCAAATTTTATTACTTTGATGGATCCTATATTTTTATTTAAAGTAATAGAGAAAAATTGGTTTTATTTCATTAATATGAGTCAAATGAGCTGTAGTCAATTTGCAACAAATTTGACCAAAATGATTTATAACATATCTATTAAACAACATCTCAAGTAGTAACAATTATAAAATTTAATTTTCATCAAAGTTAAAGTCTATTATTCTTTTAATAGTACGTTCCTGTTTCAGTTGAAAATATTTCTATGTTCCAAAAAGATTTATTGAGGAAAGGTCTAGGAGTTTTGGAACCACTAGAAACCAATAAATATAATATAAATACAAAATATTTTATTGTTAAAGTACTGAAACATTTTAAAAACTGTAAAAATTAATTTTTAATGTTTTAATAGTTACAATAGAAACCCGTTTCCCTACATACTGAACATTCTATATAAATAACATTACTCTGTATAATTTCCTCATCAGAACTTGTGCTATCTGAATCTGTCAAAAAAATTAAAATAATTATTTTTTATTTTAAATTATATATAAAAAAATATATATATAAATTTTGGAATAAACTGTGTCAAATTATGTATCATGCTATGTCATTTTTCGCTTACCACTTGAAGAATCACTACCATCACCCTCGCCTAAATATTCATAATTGTCATATTAATAATATAAAATGTTTGAGTTTTTAATTTAACAGTAAATTTAACTGGAATTTGAATTTTTAATATAACTTTATTCGTTTATTAGATACAAAATTTTAAAGTTTCAAATTATTGAATTAATATACATGTGTAATATTCAAGGGATTACAAATATAAGTAGCTAATTGTTTTTTTATGACATCGATATTCGCTAATACGCAACATGGTAGTAAGTCTTATTTTTGTGAGTTTATAAATACACTAACTGTCAATACAGAAAACGTATCTAAGGATAGTCATATTTCTCAACAAACACTCAATGACTGCGAGAGCGACGTCATAGAATCCAATTAGCTAACTGGATTTGTAATCATTCGTGTATTATACATGTATATTAATGCAAAAATTTGAAAATTTAAAATTTTGTATCTAATAAACGAATAAAGTTAAATTAAAAATTCAAATTCCAGTTAAATTTACTGTTAAATTCAAAAATCAAACATTTTATTAAATTCAAAATATGCATTATTATTTAAAAAAAAAAAAACGGTAGCACAGTGGGGTGGTGTCATAGTTGGGTCTAGTATAGATGATATCTGACAGTGATTAAAATCACTATCATAAAAAACGCTTCGATGCAAATCTATAGATAGTGTTTAATTAAAAAAAAAAATTTGTTAAAATAGCATATTTTTGAATACGGTAGCCATTTCCGTATAGAAGTTAGGTCGTCGGGACAAATTTTTTTTTTCATTTTGTAGTACATAAAATAAGCTTTAATTTTATATATGTTTAAAGAACACAGTATTTCCGGAACATTTTCAAAATTTAAGTTGAAAAAGTTAGTTTTTGTAAAAAAGTTGCTATTTTAAATCCCCCCTGTGAGCAGAATAAGTGTTAGATTTTCAAAAAAAATGATATCAAATGAAAGGAAATTACCTAAGGTTTCAATATAAAGAAATATTATTTTGATTAGTTAATATTTGAAAAAGTTAAGGAAGTTTTAAGTACAAAAAACATTCCGATAGAAGATGATTTTTATCGTAAACATAACATTTTTTTTTTAATTTCGACAGCCATTTGCACATAGAAGATAAGGTATCGGGGCAAATTTTTTTATTTCATTTTAGAGTACATAAAAAACCATTATTTTGATATATGTTTAAAGGACGCAGTATTTCCGTAACATTTTCAAAAGTTCAGTTGAAAAAGTTCTATTTTTTATACAATGTTTCTAAGTTTGAACCCCCCCTATATAAGGAGGAATTGTCTAATTTTAATAAAAAGTATGTCAAACAGAAGATGTACTTATAATGTATTTAGAAAAAAAAAATTGTGCTGATACATACATTTTTCGAAAAGTTATAGCATTTTTAAGTTGAAAATTAAAAATCGAAAACTTTAACACAAAAATAGTGTTTTTTTAACTACGGCAGCCATTTAAACGTAGAACAAAAAATATCGGGACAAATTTTTTTTTCATTTTATAGTACATAAAATAAGCTTTAATTTGATATATGTTTGAAGGACGCAGTATTTACGGAACATTTTCAAAAATTAAGTTTTGTAAAAAAGTTGCTATTTTAAATTCCCCCTAATGAGCAGGTTAAGTGATAAATTTTCAAAAAAATGATATCAAATGAAAGGTAAATATCTAAGGTTTTCATATAAAAAAAATTATGTTGATTTGTTGATTTTTCAAAAAGTTATGGAAGTTTTAAGAAAAAAAAGTGAAAAAATTTCGAAAATTAGCGATTTTTAAATTTGTAATTTTTTTGGATATTTCCCCCATTTGCGGGGAACGAG